CCATCATGGCAGACCAACCAACAACAACAAAATTGTTGCTTTGATTGCTAATTTTACCATTTTGGATAATCTATTTTTGTAGAACCCACTTTTTGTCCTCAAACTTCCCTAGTGTTATGCATTTTGTGTGTGGGCCAAATAATTAAACTCTGACATTTGTTTGTTCTTTTGGCCACAAGCAAATACATGTTTAAGCAACAGCTTCCATGAATTATGCAATCTAAAAATACCAGAGTGGTTTAATTTTAGTTTTGTAGATTATGTAATTGAAAAGTAATTTTAAGTATAATGAAAAAAGTGATATATTTTTAAATTGGTAAAATAAGATGTCGAGAGCTATTTCTCATTTCACTTTTTGGAAGACCCAGAACATTGGTGCCTCCCTTCTGCCCTTGGCTGGCTTCTGTCTCCTGTCCCACCCACTGAAACTAATTTTCTTCAGGTTATCTGAGCAGAAGACAAAAGAGACAATCACTCATATTTAATGAGCACAGTTGTCTTGGGTATCAAGAGGGACTGGTTCCAGGCTAACCTGCAGATACAACTTTGAGCATGCTTAAGCTCCTTATATGAGATGGCATAGTGTTTGTGTAAACCTATGCACATCCTCCTGTACACTTTAAATTGTCTCTAGATGACTTACAATACCTACTACAATGTATATGCTATGCAAATTAGTGGCTATATTGTATTTTTAGGGGATGATGACAGGAAAAAAAGTCTAGACATGTTGAATACAGAAGCAATTTTCCTCCAAAAAATATTTTCTATGTGTGGTTGGTTGAATTCACAGATGCAGAACCTGTGAATAGGTTCTGTACTTCATAAGATGGGGTTCTAAGGGATTTAATATATTAGCATGAATAATCCTTAACAGATACACTGGGAGGTAGATACTGTTTTTAATCCTTATCCTGTAGAGAAAGCTGAGGCACAGAGAAGTAACTTGCCTGGGGTGACAGTTTCATATTCAGCATGTGTGCATTTCATCCCAAAGTTACACTTCCTGCCTTTGGAGAGCTGCCTGGTTGCCTTGGCAGCCCTCACCCCTTCCTCTGCCTGGGAAGACCCCATTTCTTTTGCAAGAACTTCCACATGATTCTCTCTATCGAGTTTCCCCTGTTGGCTTGGGCAGCCACCACCATTCACATCTGCATGGTTGCATTTCTTGCTTCCAGTGAGATCATTTACTTCCACTTCCTCTTCCCTGTTCCTGTGGTCCACAGAGGTTCATGTTCTTTTTGTGTACTATAAGCATCTAGCATAAGCATCTAGCACAGAATGCTAGATGCTTATAGTACACAAAAAGAACATGAACCTCAGTGTTGGCATAAAGACTGAGGTTGGGCATAAAGCAGCTCCATCAGCACTTACTGAAGTCACAAAATGCTGAAGACACAAAAGATGGATTAGTCCCTACCAGCCTGGGGCAGGTACTGAGTTGCCCAAGCATCTCCCCAAAGCCAGACATCTGGTAAGTGAGGATGGGAAGAGGCAGCTCAGTTCTTGAGAACTGGAGCCCTTGCGTTCCCAGATGGGGTCATGGCAATGAAGCACATAAAGACTTCCCACTGAGCATGCCCAAAGATCCCAGGGGACATAACTGCCCCTTTGTACAGACCCCAGCATGGTTGGCAGTGCTGCTTGGGCTTCCAGGGTGCCTACTAATTTAGAAGGGACAGTTTGATGGCCCTGCAGCTTTCTGATGTCCCCACAGCTGGTCACGTCCCAGCACCTTAGAGCCACATTGCTTAGCTGCTTCTTCCATCCAGTCCTGCCAGGCTCTTGGTCATCCTGTTGCATGGTCCTCACCTGCACCATCTCTGTCCTTACTCACCACTCGCATAGACTCTGCTGGCTGCTGCCTAAAGCCAGTCCCCCCGCTCCTAGCCCTTTGTGCTCACTTTCTTTCCAATTCCTTCCATTTCATCTAAATCGCTCTCCCTCTGAGGGCTCTGGCCAGGGTCCCTGGGGGCTGGTGGGGAGCTCTCTCGCTTCCTTAGTCCATGACTTGATACCTCAACTATGCAATTCAGAATTATTTGTGTTTCGTGTGGTTGCTTCAGCCATCTCATGTTGCAAGCTCCCATATAATTTGTTGGCCTTTTCTCATTCCCCTGAGGTCTCTTTCAGTGTTTGTACTTTCCAATACTTTATCTCCTTGCCATTAATAACTATGTTTGGGATTCTTGTCCTCCTTAGAGTAATAGCTTGCATTTTTTCCACATTGGCCCTCCTTTTATTTACTGCCCTTAATTATTGCCTCTTGCTATTTGTATTCTAGTCTCCTTGAGTGGGAGGCTGATTTAGTTTCAGTTAATGGACAGTCGTCCAACCCAGTCTTTTCAACAGGGAGGCAATGTCAAAAGGAATTAACTTTCCCAGGGACCCAATAGACATCGCCTTCTTCTCCCTTAGATAGTGCTTGCTCAGTTGACCATGTTCTTCCTAGTAGGACCCGTCACTGAGGCTGGTGAAAGGACTCAGAGAGATGATTGATGATAAAAATGTAGATTTTCTGAGATCACTTTACTGGGAAATAGATTCAATGACTTCTCTGTATTCTTGCGGGTGAGACATTATTATGTCATGGATGGAGACTAACTCTATTTCCCATCTCTTTCACAGGATGTAGATGGGATAATACTAGGATAAGAGATTGCCTTAGTCCATTTTCTGTTGCTATCACGAACTACTCATGTTTGGCAACTTCATAAGATGAAGAGGGTTATTAACTTCAGAGTTCCAGAGACTAGCACATGGTGCCTAGCACAGATCATCCCTTGGCTGTGTCACAACATGGCAGAGAAATGGAAAGGCAACCAACCACCTGCAGAAGAGTCTCTTGGTGAGAAAGCAAGCCAGAGATTCAGGGGCCAGGTTGGTTCTTTTCATGAGAGCCCACTCTCATAGGTCACATGAGAACTACTTTACTCTCTTCGGAGGGAGATGCCCTCCATGAGCTAATCACTACATGCTAGCCCCCACCTCTTAAAAGTTCTACAACCTTCCAACGTGGCTAAACTGCAGATCGAGCTTCTAGTATGTGAACTTTTATGGAACACACTTAAACCATATTTAAATCATTGTAGGGGTTGCATTTACATTTGAGAAAAAACATCCCAACAGCTAATCCTGTTACCATGATGGTTACTTGGGGGAAAGTGGGGAACACAGTGCCCCAGATTGTGAGGTGGATGTCTATGTTGATTATGGTGACGAGAGCGTGATGCCATGGGATGATGCGATGCAGAAAGCTTTCCTGGAGTGGAAGGGTTCTCCGCCTACAAGAACCTTATAAATAAAGCAAGGACTGTCCTATCCCGAGAAGGGCTCAAATCCACCCCTGGTAAAAATAGGATCTTCGATAGATTTAGATTCAACATTTTCTGACTCACCATCCAGCCCTGAAGACATCATTTTTAGTACTTTTGCTTTTCTTCTGCTGTATGTCGGCCATTTATCTCGGGATCTTTAGAGTTGTTTTGGTTTAGGAGAAAATGAGACGGAACAGGTTTACCCTAGGCATTCCTGATCCAGGAGCCATCTTTGATCTCTGCACATCTCATCTTTGACTTTAAAAGACGTTCTGCCTGTAACCCTATCTCAGGAGCTCATCTCCCACCTGAGATCGACAACTCAGAGTCAACCGACCTGGGAGCCAGGAGCTCCAGGAAGGGATTTCAGCTGTGGGACAATTGGAGCCAAATCCCTACCCTGATGGCATTTCCTAACTACTTCACCTCAAGTCCTGTTACCATGATGGCTATTTGGGGGACAGTGGGGAACACAGTGCCCCCAATACAGTGTGAGGTGGATGTCTATGTTGATTTATGGTGATGAGAGCGTGATGACAGAAATGGTTCTAAGCCAGTTGTTTTCCCTCTCTGGATCTCATTTTTCCCATAGTGACTTGTTTATATGTGGGACTTAATTATCTATGAGGCCCTTTCCAATTCAGATTTACTCTGTCGAGTTAAATTGGCAGAATACCGCATACCACCCCATGATGACTAAAGCTCCTAGAATTGGGTGGATGATCTTCAAAGAATGGTGTGACTTATTCAAAATCCTATAGTTTGAGCATCTCTAATCTGAAAATCTAAAATCTGCAAGTTTTTGAGCTCTGACATAAAGCCTCAAGGAGAAAATTCCACATTTTATCTCAGTTATAGCTGAAATGCAAGTGCACTAAAAATATTGTATGACACTATCATCAGGCTATGTGTGTAAGTTTTATATGAAGCATGAATGAATTTCATGGTTAGATTTGGGTCTTTTCCCTAACACACCTCATTATGTGTATGCAAAGATTCTAAAATCTGAAGGAAATAAAAGGAAATCAGAAACTATTCTGTTCCCAAGCAGTTCAGATAAGGAATACTTGTAGTTTAAAGTACAACTTTTCTGGCCTTTTTATTTTTGAGAAAGAATGATTTGAAGTGTTGTGAGGTCTAGAAAAAATGTAGGATTCTTGCTTTTCCTTGACCAATTTGTGGAGGTTCACTCAATTTTCATACTTTTCTTCCAATTTTTTTTCTCTCACTGCAGCTCCACTGGCTCCTACCTCCCCATGCTGGTTTTCAGGACTCCTGTAAGGCACAGGAAGTAAGGACCAAATAAGAACAGAGCAGGGAGGAAGAGCAGGAAGAAAAGATTAACATTAAACAGAGTCATGAGGTGGGAGGGAAAGGGAGAGAAAAGGGAAATCACATGAAAATGGAAGGAGACCCTCATTGTTATACAAAATTACATATAAGAGGTTGTGAGGGGAACAGGAAAATAAACAAGGAGAGAAATGAATTACAGTAGATGGGGTAGAGAGAGAAGATGGGAGGGGAGGGGAGGGGGATAGTAGAGGATAGGAAAGGTAGCAGAATACAACAGTTACTAATAGGGCATTATGTAAAAATGTGGATGTGTAACCGATGTGATTCTGCAATCTGTATTTGGGGTAAAAATGGGAGTTCATAACCCACTTGAATCTAATGTATGAAAGATGATATGTCAAGAGCTTTGTATTGTTCTGAACAACCAATTAAAAAAAGTTAAAGAAAAAAGAAGTATCACTGATACTCTAGTGTTGAGGGTCTCTGCAGCCCTATAAAACCACTGCCAGGTGGTGTTCCCACCCCCCCATACTTAGGAAATCATCTAGTTTCCTCTGATTAAGCAATATCAAGATTTCAAAGAAAGGTTCAGTCCTCATTTTCAAGTTAATTTGAGACGATTCCAACTCAGTGAAACCAGAGGGAGTCGGGGATGCATTCTTGTCCCCTGGGCAGGGGCAGGTGACTGAGTTCCTGTGGACAGGTTGGCCAACATTCTTCCAGAGCCCCAGTAACAGGCCAGGTTTGTGTAGGGAGAAGAGGTGAGAAGGGGAACTGATGTTTTAGAACATGAAAACGGGGTGCCCATTCAGGGCATGGAGACGTCGGACGTCGGGGTGAGGAGATGCACCTTGTGCCTCATCACACACTCCCCTCAGTCTCTCCTTCTCTGGGCCTCCTCCTGATCTTGCCACTCAAATGAAAATGCTGCTGTCCACTGACTAGTTAGGCCCAAAGTTTCCACCCCTCAGGGCAGGCCCAGCATCTCAGGAAATAGGTCCATGGCATGGTTTATGGGGCCCAGTTAGAAAAGAAAAGATGGTGTCCCTGGTTTAAAAATGTTTGAGTTTGACAGCAAGCTAGGCATGAATCCAAGCTCCGGGCCCTTCTGAGTATGGGGCCATCTGCAACCACACAAGTTATGTGCCCCAATGGCAACCCTGACTCCAGGACATCCCCAAAGCAACTGTGTGGCCATGGAAAGGCCAAGGTGGGTTTGTCACACTCAGGCCTATACCGAGCCCCCTGCATGTACATGTGTCATTGGGAGGCCCTTCTCCTCCTCTCTGTGGGCCCAATCAAAGGCACTGGCTTCTCTGAGAGCCCTTTGTTTGAATGAGAAAGGGCAGCAGTGTCGGGATTAGAGGGCTTCAGGTAGCCATCTAAACCGGCAGAGGCACAGAAAGGGAGGGGAGGGGAGGGCAGGAGGCCTGCTGCTTTGGAGAGACTTCAGAGGAATGTGAGCCGAAGGCCCTCCAAGAAGCCACAACAAGGAAGAAATTCTTCCTCTCCCAGGCTCCTGCTCAGAGGACTGGTATCAGATGACTCCCTCCAGCCAGCCGGCCTGCTGCAAAGAAAGAGCACAGGGCTGAGTGTGAGAGCTTGCACAGGGCCAGAGGGCTCCCTGACCTTCCTGAACATAGTCGCCCCCCACCCCCATGCCCTCTGTGGGGCACCTGCAGTGGTAAGTCCTGGGAAAGGCACCTCGGGAATTCTAGTCCTTTCCAAGGTGGAAGCTGTTACTGGCTTGGTCTGTTATCTCTGAGCTAGGTGTCCTGCATTCGAACCCCCTCAGCTAAAAGAAGGCCCTGGGTCCCTGCAGGCTGTGACGGAGATATGGAATTGTTGCCTGGGCCCTGCTAAAGAAACATCAGGAAACGAACTTACCAGTGTTATTAGGGACTTTCTCTGAATGCCCTTCCCAGGTTGTCCTGCTGAAATAAAAATAAAATGAAAACCAGAACATACAGACCGCATTGTGTGTGTGTGTGTGTGTGTGTGTGTGTGTGTGTGTGTGGTTTAGGGATCAAACCTAGGGCCTTCTATATGCTAGGCAAGTGCTCTACCACTAAGTACATCCCCAGCTCACAACCAACCTTGCTTCCTTGTCAGCATTAGAAGAGGACTTTCCGAGAGCTTGGTTGCCGACCTGTCTGCACAGAGTCCCAAGGGTGAGTTCCCACATGGGTGTGGGTGTCTCTGGGCCGTGGGGCCTTTATCCCTGACCTTGCCTCAGCCTCTAGCCAGTGAGTCCCGACTCATGCTGAGCAACTTTCCAACGGTGCCACCATGTGGCACAATGCCAGTCACCCATTCCTTGACCATCTTCCTTACTAAGCACCTCCCATCTCCTCTTTTAATATCCAATACACACTTGGAAAATAGATTAAATGGTTCCTAGTGTTTTTCCAAAGTTGCTTCAGAGGTTATAGTTTCTACTCCTCCCCATCACAACTCCCAAATGCTTGTCATTCAATTTTTCTTAAGAGTTAAAAATATCTACCACCTTGATAGCTTATAGCTTTCTTTTCTCATCAATAAGAATATCCATCCCCTACTGGTTATATGCTTTGCGATGTCTTCTCCCTAGGGTTTGTCTTATCAATTCATGGTGACTTTAGTGATAAGCATGTTTATTTGAAATCTGAAATGTCAGTGAGTGTGCCCATCTTTTTCTTTATAGTTTATGTTTTTTAATGTTTCGTTAAAGAAATATTTCCTTACACCAGCCCCCTCAAATTATCTCCTTTCTTTTATTCTAACACTTTCAAGTTTTGTTTGGAACATTTAGATATTTAATTCACAAAGAATTTATTTTGGGGGCAGGAGTGAACTGGACCTCCAATTTTATTTAAGATGTTTACATAGAAATGAACTGAGCAAGCTGGGCATGGTGGCACATGCCTGTAATCCCAGCAGCAAGGGAGGCTGAGGCAGGAAGATCATAAGTTCAAAGTTAGCCTCAGCAAAACAGAGGCACTAAGCAACTCAGTCAGGCCCTTTCTCTAAATAAAATAGAAAATAGGGCTGGGTTTGTGGTTCAATGGCCGAGTACCCCTGAGTTCAATCCCCGGTACCCACCCCCCAAAAAATGAACGGAGCCCCTCGTGTGGGCAGTGCCACCTGTTGTATGTCATGTTTTCATGTGTCAGTGGCCTGGTTTCTGAGCTCTCCAATGTGTTCCCCTTGTCAGTTGGCTAATGCTGCACTGTCCTAACTGTTTTCTCTTTATAGAGTCTTGACATCTCATATGCACTGAACCCAGCTCATCTTCAGGAATGTCTTGACTATTCTTCACTCTTCCAGAAAATTCTTAGAATCGGTGCCTCTCGCAGAAAACCATCCGGGTTTTGATTGGAGCTTTATCGAATTTATTGTGAAAAGTGTGCTAAAATCCCCACTGTGAAGGTCAATTAATCCCATTCACTGTGTCATTCTGCCCATGGCATATATTTTGTGCATATTTCTTTTGCTCACTTGTATATTTGAAGCTATGCTATCGGGTTCATATACTGCCATACTTTCCTATTATACAATGACCTTCTAATGAAGATAGTTTTGCTTTATTGAATCAAGTTTACTTGATATGATATAAATACAGCAAACCCAGCAGTATTTATTAATTTTTCCTTGGATATTTTTTCTGTCAATTTACTTCAAGCTTTCATTGTTTTGTTTCAGATATGCCTTTTGTCCATAGCCAGATCTTGTTTTTAGGTAATCTGATGATCTTAGCATTTAATGTTAAGGTTTAGATGATTTACTGTAATTGTAGCAATTGAGATATTAATAATATTATGTTGTACTCTCTATTTACCATCATTTTTCTTCTGCTTGTTTTTTTCCCTTCTTTTTTAAACTTCAAGATTTCTTTATTCCAATTATTTGCTTCTCATGGTGTGGAAGTTATGTCATCTATCTCTCTCTCTTTTTTTTTTAGTAGGTTACACTTAAATTTTTGGATTGTATTCTTGACTTTATGGTGTCTAATGGTAGTATCTTTAACTTTCTTCTGAATAATAGAACTTAGAAACTTTAACTCTGATCTTATTTCTGGCCTCTCATGAAATCACTCTTGAGAATTTTAGTTCTATTTTCCTATCCTTTTAAAGCAATTTTGTTGATATAGCACAATTAATAATAATTGTGACCTATTTTAAAGAGTAAAACTTGAGGTATTTTAACATGTGTACTGACCTCACCCTAATCAAGACAATGAGCACACACTTTGATCCAAACCCTCTACCAACCAGAATTATCATGGCCACGTACAACTAAATCATAGTGATTTGCCCAGGTATTTATTTGATTTATTTGCTCGTGATTGCTTCTTCCACTTTACTCTTTCAAACAGGTTAATTTCTTTTTTCTCTCTTAAAATTCTGGAGTGAGGCTCTGTGAGTGGTAAATTCTCTCCATTTTTGTCAAAATGTCCATTTTTTGTCCTTGCGTTTAAGTCAGGTTTTATCTGGAGGCAGAATGCTAGGTGGATGGTTTCATGCAGCATTTTTAAAACATTGTTCCAGAGTTGTCTGACCTCTATAGCTGTAGAGGACTCTGAGGCCATGGCGTCTGTCCTTCATGTGTAGGCCATCTGTCTGATGTTCTGTCTGTCTTTCATGGTATTAGCCTCTAAATTTACCCTAACAGCTTTATGCATGGATATTTATTATTGCTGATAAATGGTAGTCTGTGAGGAGCCCCTTGAACAAATACTTTTTGTGGGTTCTTGGCTATAGAAACCATTTTAATCACTAAAATCAGTCCGTCAGCATCATCCTGGCAGCCCAGTCACACATAATTCCAAGTGTGGGCTGTGCGTGGACTACATTGCACATCGCAGAGTAATGAGTCGAGAACTTGGTGTCTGGGAACTTCCAGTGCACAGTTCCTCTGGCTGACTGCCCAAACACATTGTGAGCCCTATTCAGCTCTGCCAAAGGTCCCATACAGCACCTGAGATGGGGTGACCTGCTGTAGTCACACAGCCCCTCTGAGATGGGTGTGACCTGCCAATATGCCAATCGACCTGCTGACTGCAAGACATCACGAAACAAGACTCCACCCCTGAAACCTTACCCCTTTGATGTACCCCCTTAAGTAAATCACGGGAGCCATTTTCTAATTTTCTAGCTCAGACTCCTGTGTGGATTGATTCTATCAGGGGCTTTACCTTTTTGAAACTATCTTTCTGATTTTGTCTTTTATTCTTCACTAATTATTCTAGAGTTTAATTTCTTTGGAGGCTTACACCCTCCTGAGCAGGAAGAAGAACCCCCTAATGAGGCACTGGCCGCCTCTCCATATCCAAGAATTTCAATGAATTGTACTTGGATCACAGAGAGCCATCTACTCATCAGGCTGCTCTCTGGAGCCAGCGCCTAGGTACAGGGACCTGGGATCACCCATAGGTTCAAATCTTCAAGTCTTTCAGTGCAGGGCCCAGAACAAGGCCCTTTTCACTTGAATCTCAGGGTGATATCATAGATGTGTAACCTTGTTCCTGAAAAATGTGCTCTGAATAGTTTCTTTCCCTTATCTTCAATAATCATTTTTTCTGGAACTCCTAATTAATATGTTATATTATATTACATTCTTTCCATTTCCTCAGATTTGATTTCCAGTTAATTGATTCTCTTTTCAACCATGTCTTTTCTGTATTTACTGAGTCCAAAATTTCAATTGCAGTTATCCCTCTGTGTCTGTAGGATCTGCATTCACCAATTAAACCAAATGCAGATCGAAAATATCTGAAAAAGAAATTGTGTCTGTACAGATTTTTTTGTTATTCCCTGAAAATATATAGCATAACAACTTTTGCATAGCATTTACATTATATTAGAAATGATAAATCATCTAGAGATAATTTAAAGCCTATGAGAGAATATGCATGTATCACATGAAAATATTATACCATTTTTTTATATGGAACTTGAGCATTCCCAGATTTTTGGCATCCTCGATGGTCTTGGAAACAACCTCTGTAGATACTACAGGATGATGGTACTATATTTTTTAGGTTCAGAAGCTCTATTCATTTGTTTTGCAAATATGTTTGTTTTTGTTTCCCATAATTTGTATTTTTTTTATATCTAATCATTTGAAAAATATGTTCCCCATTGTCTTCTAGACACTGGCTATATTATAGCGAGCTCTTGAAGGGCTAATCTTGCCCTTGGTTGTGTCTGCTGGTTTGTTCATGATGGGTAATTCTCTCTTATGAGATATTTTTGTGAAAGACAGGGAAGAGGGCTCTGTTTGGTCCTTTTTTCCTTGTTTTTTTTTCTCTCTCTCTCTCTCTCTGTCTGTGCAAATGGACTTCTACAGAAGGTTTGCATGGGCCATGCCTAAGCTTGAGGTGAGTCAGCTTCCATGGCTGTTCTTGGTTCTCTGGGTATTATGTGGTAATGAGTTTTTTCCAAATCAGTTTTCATTCCGTCAGAGTATAGACAACTTTATCCCCTAGTGATGGGTCAGATCTCAGAACCCCACGGAGCATGTGAATCATGGCAAATGCCTGGGCCCAGGATATGCTATGCCATCCACTGAGACCTATTTCCCAGCAGCTGCCATTTCTGTGCCTTTTCTGACTCACTGCTTCCTCCACCCCTGCTGACCTGGCATCTGTGGTCCCCCCCTCATTCCCCACCCACCAAGGAAGGGGCCTTTCCTTGCGGCTATGACCTTACTGGAGGCCTACAGGGGACTTCCTGCCAGGTATTGGGAGATTTCCTGGGAAATCTCCACCAGCTCTTCCACAGTCTCCCACTTTCTTCACCTCCGCCCTTCTGCCTGATGGTGGAAAGCCCTGACACCCAATTCTGGGGGTGCTTTCTTGTCCAGGTGGGCCTAGCTGGGTCCTTGCAGCAAAACTGGGCCAACTTATCCTAATCTGGAAGTCTACCATGAACTAGGGGACGAGACATCTTCTGTCTCTCTGCCACTCCCACTCCATCCCTACCCACATCTCTTTGGAAAGCATGAGACCAGGCCCTCAAACTACCTGGTTATACCTTTCCCACTCAGCCAAGGGAGCAAATGCATTAATGTCCATAAGTAGGTTAGCATAAGGGTTGTTTTTTATCACTGGGGTAGGGTTGGGATGAACTGAACCCGAGGGACGTGGAAACATGATGGCACACGGGAACAGGGTGTGTTGGACAGTATCTCCCTATGGTTCTTTCCTGGTGGCCATGGCATACATTTGGCCGAACACAAGTTCCCTTGACTTTCACAGAAACCTGGATCCTTTTGGAGCACTTTGGTGACTCAAGCTGGCCTTGAGTGGGTCAGTTTGGATCTTAAGGAACACTGTAAGACCATATGCATGTCAGGTCCAGGCACCCTGAATTTGGTCCTCAAAAAGCTCAGTCCATGCCTGTTATGCTGACTTGACCTCAGGACAGAAAGGGACTCTCCTTGGGATGAACCTCTCAGAGCTGACAACACTCAGGCAACCACCCTGTCTTTCCCCACACCCCCCAATGGCCAGCACAACCCCTGTCTTGGACACTGGCTGAAACCCAGACTCCGTCTTTCCTGCCCAGCTGCAGAAGCTTACAAAACTGGGACCACTATCAGCTTTCACCTCCAAATGTCCTTTCACCTCCAAATGTCCAAATGGATGGAAACAGAGCCCTTGAAGAGGAAGTGACCATACTTCCTATCCCTCCCAAGGGGGAAAGTTTAATTTAAGGACTTTTTGTCAGCTCCCAGCTGCTGAGGTGACCTGGGCTTTCCTTAGCCGTTGTCTTCATAAACAGACGACACGGCGTGATTCAGCCTTACCCTGTCTGCCTGGGCACGCTGAAGGCGTTCATGAGCAGCAGAGGGAGGCTCAGCCACCACCTCTGTCTGGCAGGTGTTTCCTGCTCTTCTTCCAGTTCTTCTGTGGAGCATATGCCCAAGTCATCTAAAGTGCTGGCAAAGTGTCCTCTTCTGGAGATGGCAGTGTGAGCTGAGGGTCTGCTATCATTTCCTCTCCTACGACCTGTGCACCTCAGGGAGATTACTCAGGAACTTTGGCTTAATCTCCTCATCTGTCAAATGACAGTGGATGAGCTGTTTGCAAGCCTCATTACAGAATCACCTGCAACTTGGCCCGAGGCGGTTGTGGGGATCTGTCTGTTTGGGTTGGTCCCAGAGAGTCCTGATTTAGACAATACATTACATCTAAAAAAGGTTCCCACACATCTTTCAGGGTTGGCTATTAGCAAAAAAGAGTGAAGGTAATAAGCACTGGTAAGGGCATGGAGAAAAGGGAACCCTGGGGCACTGTTGGTGGGAATGTAATTAGTACAGCCATCATGGAAACCACCATGGAAGTTCCCTCAAAAGACTAAAATTGGAATTAGCATATGATCCAGCCATCCAGCTACTGAGTCTACATCCAAAGGAATGAAATCCGTATGTTGAAGAGACATCTGCAGTTCCACGTTCACTGCAGCATCAGTCACAATAGACAAGATTTGGTCAACCTAAGTGGCCACTGATGGATGGTTGGGTAGAGAAAATGTGGTATATGTGCATAATGGAGTATTGTTCAGAAAAAAAAGGAAATCTGTCATTTGTGAAAAAGGATGAGCCTGGAGGATATATGCTAACTGACATAAGCTGGGCACGGGAAGAAAACGAATGCATGATCTCACTCCTATGTGGAACCTAAAATGTCTTATCCAGGTAGAGAGTTGCCGAAGTCCGGCTGGGCAAAATAACTGAGAGGTGACAAGCAACTTGAAGGTTGAAACGGGAACTACTTTATTGGGAGTGAACTCAGAGGGAACTGAGCGAGAACTCAA